CCTCAGCAACTACAAGGTGTCCCCCCAGCCCCACTCACTTTGTCCCACTCGGAGAAGCACCTTCATGCCTCTGGTTAGGCACACGCCCCCCTGCAAGCTCTCCAGGCCTTCTCGGGTGCCATCCGATGTGGCTGGGAGAGAAAAGCCAGAGGGAGAAGTTGGCACTCCAGAATCCAGCCCATATTCTGTCCCCATGCCCTGGTACGAACACTACCCGAGGGCATAGGGTCTCCCTCTCAGCTCCAGTAGTCTTCCTCCCTCACCTGCCCTCGACCCTGCCCTCTGCCCTGCCCTCTGCCCAGCAATACCAATTATGTAGTAATCGTGATGTGAGCGGAACTCATGGCCCCAGAGGTTAGGGCTGTACTCCTGGAACTTGATGGTGAAGCGGAGATCCAGGTCTGGCCGATCACAAGTGAGAAGGAGGTTTGGGGCAGGGGGTGCTTCACAGCGCCGACCCTGGGCACCCCCTACAAGATACAGCTTGTAGAACTCATAATTAGGAGAGGAGTGGGGGCCAGGAGGCCTGGCCCGGGGGCAGAGCAGGTCTAGCCGGTCCCCAATCTGAGGGTAGAGCACGTAACCACCCTCTGCCTGGAACCTGTGGGGAGGAGGGTGAGTGGACGAGGAGGAGACGTCAGAGGTCAGGCCCCCAGAGCTTTCCTTCCCTCACCCCACAACCCTCCAGGACAGCAATCCTCAGCTCGCGCCTGCCTGCCTGCCTTTGTCTGACTCTGCAAGCTCACATCAGAAGCAGCAGGGAGCTGGGCTCAGAGGTCTCCTGCCCCTTGGTGTGCCCAAATGCACTCTTCAGCCCGCCCTCACCACATGCACACTGCCATCTCCCGCTCCATCACCGGCACCGTTGCCATGGCAACAGGATGCCAGTTACCAAGGAGCTGGCCTCTCTGGAACCACACAGCCCACCCCTCCCAGGTGATTTCACTATTCCATGGCAGTCAACCATGGGGGTAGAGCCTCCCCTCCTCCAGACCACCACTGAATTTCAGGCAAAGGGGACAGTGATGGGGGTGTGGAGGGTGAACCAGACCAGTGTCCCAAGTGAGCCACGCAATGGGACAGGAAGCAAATGTCCAGTTTGGCAATGGCTCTATATAAAGCTAATGGGAACCAGGGTCCGGAGGCCAGCTCTCTGGGTCATTCCAATGCTCAGTCCCCCTAGCCTGGCTCTTGGATTTCCGGGGGAAAGTACTCTATTTGGAATTGAAAGAGTTGACTTTTCTAACCACAACCGACACAACTCCACATCTCCTGGGCCAGTGGGCTCAGGCACCCACTGGCCCAGCACAGCTACAACTTGCCAACCACTGCAGCCCCTCCCTGGGCATTAATAGCTGAGACAAGTTCTCAGAACTGGGTCCCAGGGGACTGCCACTCAATATCTCCCCAAACTCCCAATGACCCACTCCCTCCCAACATCCAAAAGAGCCCCCAGGACACCCTAACTCCCTTTCTCAACCCTATCAGAATAAACCTAACTTACATCTTCAAGCTACACACCTGATACTCAAACTGCAGCCAGGATTTGGTGGGTGGGCGACGGAGTACAGAAAAGACATTGAGATTATATTCAAAGATATAAGGAAGGGCAGGAGAAATGCCAGGACAGGGAAGTGTAAGGGAGGCCGAGAAGTAAAGAGAGAAGAACGGTAATCCTAGCTCTCCTTTAATCAGTGTAGTGTATTCAAACACCTCACCTCTAACCCTCATAACAGCTGTAAGGATTGAGGATGCGAACTCAGAAAAGTTAAGTGACATGCCCAAGGCCACACAGCTGAAAGCAGCAGAGCTAGGATAAAGGCCAAGGATTTGATGAGCTCCAAAGCCCACCCCCTTCCCATGGCCTCACACTGCCTCCCCAGGGAAGAAGGCATTTTTCAAAACACAGAATTCTTTTGCTAATGGCGAGTGGTATCAGCATGTAAGCAAGGGACCCAGATGACCTCCCAAAGGTTCTGTCCTAGTCTATGTGGCTTGAAGTTTCATCTGACCCCTGCCCTCTTTTCAGAGCAAAGCAAGCATGCCACGGAACAGAGGGTCTGCTGGAGGAGTTTGCAGCAAAGATTGGGGAGGGAGCAATGGGGTCCTCAGGACTCTAGATGCAACAGGGAAAGAAGGAGGCTTTAGGGGGCTCGAGGCTTCTCCCAGAAAGAAGTCCCCAAGCCAGGAAGGCAGGAATATGTTCTGGCTGGGAAACTGTTCTGCCAAGCGTTCACTGACCCTCTGGCTGTGGGCAAGAGTTGGGAGAGACTGTGAAGAGAGTCAAGGAGCCTTAGGGAAGCTGTCCCCAGAGCCCCCAAACTGAACCCCCTTCCCTGCCATCTCCAGCACTGAGTCCCTTCCGGGGAGGGAGGCACCCCTGCCCTTCCCCTGCGCCTCAGGAGCACCTACTCAGCAGCTCTCTTCTGAGAGCTGACATTAACCAGGCTCCCTCCAAGCCCAGCCCCCGACGGGTCTCCCACAGATCCAAATAACAACGACACTGTCCTCCTGCTACCCGTGAACTTTCTTATCCTTGCCCCTTGGGGTCCCCAAACTCCTGACACATCACTATCACCACCCACATCCAGTTCTGTGTGGGACCCAGGAGTCTGGCTCCCAAGATCACTTCTCTCGAATAACCCAGCACCTCACATCAGGGCGCCAGCACCTTCCCTCCAGCCTCCTCCCTGCTCAGAGAACCCAGCCCCCAAGTCCCCAAACCTTCCATACCCCCTGCCAGGGGGGTCTGGGGTCTCCCCAGCCCCATGCCGCTCACCTCTTATTCGCCGAGTTCCAGTAGACAGGCTCCAGGCTGAGCCCAGACACCAGCCCCACAAAACCCAGCAGCAGTAGGGCCCCGACTCGCACGCCCCCTGGCCCAGAACGGGGGACCCCCATGACCCCGCCAAGGCCTGGGGGGCGGGGCACCAACTCCCCCAAAGTCGCTCACCCCCTGGGGTGACTGCCTTGGCTGCCTGGCTATTCAGCCCCGACCACCCCGAAGGCTGATGCCCCCGGCTCCCACGCGGACCCGCTTCCTGACCTGCCCGCGCCCCCGCTGCAGGGCGCTCAGCCCCGCAGGAGCCCTTCCAGGGGCCGTCTGCAGGCGCCCTACGCCCCCCCGGCCCACGCGCCAGCACCCCGGGGCTTGTGAGCCGGCCTAAGTAGGGGACTGGGGGAGCCGGGGGCCGGGCGGGGGCGGCATGGGGCGCCGGGCGAGGGAGCAAGGAAGGGGACGCCGAGCTGGAGCCCCAGCCTCGCCAGGATTGAGGGCAGCGGGCTAAGGGAGGAAACCAGTCCCGAGCCCAGGAGGGGGGAGTTAAAGGAGAGGCGGGGAGGGGGAGAGGATGGTGGAGGGAAAAACTGGAGCTGGAGCTCGAGGCGGAGCGGGCGGCAGCATCCGCGGCCCACGCCCCCCACACCTCCCTCACCTCGCGCACCTCCCGCTCGCAGCGGCCGCCGCCCCGCCTCGCTCCCTGGCGCGGCCTCTCACGCCCCCTTTGTCTCTCCGCGTCTCCGTCTGTGGCTGAGTTTCTGCCCGGCTCCCCTCCTGCCCTGCGATCGCCCGAGCGGTTGGAATCTTCCTCGCTCGAATCCGGAGAGGCTCGCGCTCTCTCCCCCCTGAAGGACCCACCCCTTTCGCTCCTGCAGCCTCCTCCTCCTCCACCCCAAAACAACACCGCTGCGCCCCGGAGGTCGGGAGGGAATAATAATAACCTCGCAGTCCTGGCACTTACAAAGTGCGGCTGGGTTGATCGCCACGACTACCTGTGGGAAGTGGGAGGGGAAGAGCTAACGATCCCATTAGCGCGATGAAGAAACTGAGGCTCACGGATGCCCCGCGACTTGCTCAAGGTCACACGGGGAGTCTGGGATAAAGCCGGAAACCAAACCAGGGCTGCTGAACTCCCACTCCTGGGGTCTCTTTTGTCACAGCTCCCTGGACCCTTTTCTTGAAAGGCAAGAGATGGGGAGGAAATTTGGGCCCTTCTTAAATGGTTGTGGGGAGAAGCGGGGCTGGGAGAGGAAAGCCGTACCTACAACCCAAGCCCGCACTCCGCAGGAAGGGCTGTTTCCAATTATCCTGGGGGAAGGGAGGAGCTGCCTTTTTGGGTGTAAGAACCCTGGCTTTCAGCACCTCTGGGCAGGGGCGACATTCCTCTCTTTCCTTGTCAAGCCTCCGCAGGCCTTTCGTCCCTTCTCTTTGAGATCCAAAATCACACATCCTGCTGGCTGTATCTCTTCAAAGTCCCCCTTCCAAGTGTTTGGCAAGGTGTGTCTGGGAGGGGGTTGGGAGGAGTCACTGCTTCAGATAACACACTCACCCCCACTCTCAAAGACAGAGCAAATGGAGAAACAAGACCAGTGACAGCTGCTAAATGAATAAGACCCTCGCCTTGGGTCTCATTCTAAGGGGAACACAGAATGTGACGTCTGCATTTTTCAGCACCTTTACTCTTTCATGTGTGTCCTTGACTCTGGCTATGGGCTGTCTGCCTCCTTGGGGGGAGTCCAGGGGAGGGGAGGCCAGTGCTCCTGCTCCCCTTCCCCCAGAGCTGAGTAATGGTCCCTCTGCTGCTGGATGATGGTAAATAGTGTTGGTTGCGAGTGAGCGGGTGTCTTGTCTATCACTGTCTGCACAGTCTCACACAGTCACACCCAACAGTCTGACAGGGAGCTCCTGCCACTCCTGCTCAGCCCCACTCACCATGACCCCTGCTGCCCCCACCTTGGGAGTGAGATTTCAAAGAGGTTCCCCCTTCAGTTTACCAAGATGCCTAGCAACCAACCAGTCAATGGCATGAAACGCCACCCCCACCCACTTGACTTCACACGGAGCTCAGCTACCCCATTGGCTACTTCCTAGTTCCACCTCTCAATCCCCAGTTTTAGGAACAATATGCCAGTCCCCACTGCTGCTGGACAAGGGAGCCCACTAGTCCCCCTCCCCATCCCCCACCTCCTTATTAGTCTCCCCAAACAGACACGAAAACTAGTATCATAGAAAACCTTTTTATATAAGTTCAGCCCCACGTCCCTCTGTCCCTCCTTGTCCCTTCTCATTCTGGTGATCATCAGTGATACTAGAGTCTGGGCCTCCCCCACACCACCAGAGCTGAAGCCGACATTCAAGGTGGACATTGCGCATGGAGAGCAGAGGGAGGTCTGGCTCCTGCTCCCTTTCATCCCCGCTGTCTGTGGGCTCCGGGAACACACGCTGACCGGAGGCAGTGGCCAGCAGAGGCAGGCTGGGGTGCAGACTAGAAGGAGAGACCACACAGGGTCTGTCAGCACCCTGCACAAGGATGCTTGCTCCCTCAGGGATTCACCTCCCTCCCCAACGCGAACCCCACGATCTGTGGAACTGAACCGAGGACCTCACTCCATTGGTGCAGTCCTTCTGTGGCAGAAAACTCAGCACTGGCTCCGGCTTCCCATCATCTGCAGCCCCGCTGGTGTCCCACACAGAGATGGCCCCACTGGTGCTGCCACTCACTAGGAACTGCCCAGTCCTGAGAGACAGAGGAGAGATTTGCTGGCATAGAGGCATCACCTCTGGGGCAGGATCCCCTCACACCTAGGGGATGGGACCCTATAGCAGGGCTCTGGCCTCCATGGGGCGTCAGGGCCCTAGGCAGGAAGGGGCCATGGCTACTCACGGGTCCAGATCAAAGTAGATGCGCTGATTGGTGGTCACCTCCCGACTCAGGGACCACAGTGGGTGACCAGGCTGCCGGAGATCCCAACACAGAAGCTCAGCATCCTGAAGACACAGAACAGGTGTCTGGACTCATCCCTCCACCCCTCTCTCCACCCAACATCCCTGCCTCCTTCAAGGTTTACAGGCACTCCGTCAGTTTGGGCTGATATTTTCCCACCCCCTCCATTCCACAACATATTGCAGACTACACTCCCACTCCTGCCCTACTTCCCACCTGCTTTGGGTTCTCAGGATGTGACCCCTACCTTGCGGGCTCCTGAGAAGAAGCGGTTGCCATCAGGGTGAAAGCAGAGGTGCGTGATGCCCCCTTGATGCCCCCCCAACAGGGCGAGAGAGGAGCCATCATCCCAGGCATACAGACCCAGGGAGCGGCCATAGGAGCCACAGGCATAGAGGGGCTGGGCTGGACTGAAGGCTATGCAGGAGATAATGCCACTCTGGCCCTGCTTTTTTGCTAGAGAGAGAAGGAACAAAGTGGGAGACAGGGCAATGGCACCTGGCACCAACCAGGCTAAGCAGAAGTACACCTGTCTCCTGGCCCAGCACCAACATGCTGGGGGCCCAACATCTCCACATCCTGTTTGCCAAAAGCAGCACAAAGACCTCTGATGCTCCCTAGATCCTTCTATCCCCACCGAGGACCTAATGAACCTAAAGGCTCAAGCCCACTTCTTCCCTCTCAGCCCACTTCTTCCCTCTCAAATCAGTTTTTCCTTGAAGGGATGGAGAGCTGAAGGCCTACAGGAAAATGGAATCTGCTTTATCTCAAGTTTTCTAGACATATGAAGATTTGGGAGACCAAAAGGTATACAACTGACAACATGGGGTCAAGGGTAAATCAGTGCTGTGAGCAGCTGGTAAACCTTGGGAATGTTTCCTCCCAACCCTGAGTCTGTCTTCTCTGCCAGCTGGGCACAACCTGCCTCCTGGGGCTGTTCTGAGCATGCAGTGAAACCCCACAGTGGCCCTCTACCTCACACAACTCCTGTGCGGATGGCAGCACCCTCCCCTTTTCTCCTTCCTTTGAGACACAGATGCTCACCAAACGTGGCTCGGACTTCACAGTCACGGCCGGGCCGGGATGTGGAGAAGACCCGCACAGTCCGGTTGAAGCCACAGAACAGCTGAGTGCCATCCGGGGAGAAGCAGAGCGAATGGGCTGCCGTCAGCTCATCCTGGGGGCAGGAGATGGCTGAAAACAAGCTTTGCAGAGCCTCAGCTATCCTCAAGGAAGGAGAGCTGGGCCAGGATGAGCGCTGGGGCTGGGCGTGGAGGTCCATACCAGATGATTGTAGGCGCGAAAGGAAGCCCGGAGCTCTCCAGTGAACGCATCCCAGATATGAATTGGGTTCTCCCGGCTGCTGCTGGCCACGCTGAGAGAGACACTGACACTGAGGCCCCAGTGCTGTCAAAGGAAGGGGAGGAAGCCAACTGACCGGCCCTCTCAGCCCCAGTCTAAAGGGCACACCAAGCTTTCCTGAACCAAGACCCCTGGCAGCCCTTGACTGTCTCAGTAGAGGGCCCCTTTGAAACTGGGGAAGTAAAGGACATCACTTACTAGGAGGTGTCTGGCTGGGTTGAGGACATCAGGGAATACCAGCAGTAATCATAGATGGTATCACCTTCTACCATTCGAAGGACGGGGACCTAGACAGAGATGTGGGAATGCATGAGTCACTCAGAGGGAAGAGGAGTCAGAGTCTAATTGTGCCTCTAGCAGTTTTATGGCAGAGAATGAGACCTTCTGTTGGCACTTAACTAGGTAGGAAAAGAACAGAATCTTTATTATAATGTTCAAGGGTTAACTCAGACTTTACTGTCAGATTTAGAGCATCCAAAGCCATATAGATTCATACTTTTTCTTTTTAAACACTTAGAGAAGCAGAAACAAATAATACCCCAACACAGAGACAATCAACCAACACCAATATTTACTGAGCACCTACTAGGTGCCATCTGATCCTCTTAAGAAATTATTAAACAGTTCAAATATGCAAAGAAGTCTTTTTTAAAAAATGACCTTCTGGGCTGGCTGGTTAGCTCACTTGGTTAGAGTGCAGTGCTGATAACACGAAGGTCAAGGGTTTGGATCCTTAAACCGGCCACCAAAAAGAAAAAAAAAACAAGGAAAAAAAAAATTTGTAGGGGCCGGCCCGTGGCTCACTTTGGAGAGCGTGGTGCTGACAACACCAAGTCAGGTGTTAAGATCCCCTTACCAGTTATCTTTAAAAAAAAGAAAAGATAAAAAGATTTGTAAAGGTGGGCTGGTTAGCTTAGTCAGTTATAGTGTGGTATTATAATACGAAGGTCAAGGGTTTGGATCCCCACGATGGCCAGCCACCCAAAACAAAACAGCAACAACAGAAAACCCCATGACCCCTCCACTCAGCCTAAGAAAAAAACATCATGTAAAACCCTTCTTCTAGTAGAAATCCTCCCTCAAAGGTAAACACTATCCTGAATTTATCATTCTTGTTTACTTCTTTAGGAATATACTCAAACAGAAAGAAAAAAAAAAAGCCAGTATCTAGCACTGTCTTGCATGTCTTTAAACTTAATATTATATGTATCCTGCTGTGATTGTGAGACTTAACCGTGGTGATGTGTTTTGCTCTAATTCATGCATTTTTACTGCTTAAGGTACTCCACTCACAAATGTATACTGACCTATCCTTCTCCTATGGACAGTCATTGGTGTGTTTCTATTTTTGGCTCGTATGCTCTAACACTCAGGTATACACACGTGGAAGGGTTTCTCTACAGTTTCTGCTAAAAAGAAAAATTACTGGTCTCTACACTTTTGCAAGTTTGTGAGATACTCGTAACATCAATTTTTTTTCCCAAAGTGCTCATCCCAATTTACTCTCCCAGCAGCTGTATATAAGACTGCCTGTTGCTTCTTATCCTCTTGGTATGGCCAGACTTGTAAATTTTTCTCAATTCAAAGGCTATGAAGTGGTATTTCATTATGGCATAAATTTGCATTCCCATCATTACTATAAGGGAGGTTAGACATTTTTCTCTATGCTTATTAGCCACTTAGGTACACCTTTTCAGAACTTTTGCCCATTTTTCTACTAGGCGGTTGTCTTTTCCTCACTGATCTACAGGACATCTTTAAATAGTCTGTACACCAATCCTTTGTCAGTGATTTGCTGTCCCTCAGAGTGATGTCGCAGCCTGGGCTGCAGTCTCCACCTCCACACTCTGAACCTGTATATCCAACTGCCTGGTGAACAGCTCCACTTGGACATCCCACAGGCATCTGAACTCAATTTGTCCGTAAAAGACCCAGCATCCCCCACCTGCAAACCTGTTGTTCCTCCTGGGCTCCACACCATTTTCAAGCCTGAAATCTGAGCACCAGCCTTGACTGCTACTACCTCTTCACTCCCCCACCACTCCTGGTCCAAGCCAATCCCAAATCTTGCTGATTCCTCTTCCTAGGTTTCTCTTGCCTCTGTCCTCTCTCCTTCATTCCCAATCCTAAGAGCCCATGACAAGCCACTGTCTTCTTGCCAGCATTTCAGCAACACTCCACATGTTCTCTGGGCCGCCCTAAAACCCCATGCTCCCACCTGCCATCTGTTCTCCAACTTGCAGCCACATCAAGACCCCAGAGATCTTGTTAAACTGGAATTCTGCACGGTGTCACTCTCCTGTTTCAAATGTTTCAAAGACCCCATACAGCCCCCAATATGAAACCCAATCTCCTTACAAAGCCTTCCATTATCACACTTCCACCCCCAACCCACCTCTCAAGGCTCATCTCTATCTACTCAGTCCCTTAAAATCTCTGTGCCCAGGGTCTGACCTATCAACTCCAGTTGGTTAGAGTGTGGTGCTGATAACACCAAGGTCCCAGGCTCAATCCCTGTATCGGCCAGCCACCAAAAAAATAAATAAGTATAATAAAATCTCTGCATCCTACCATTTTGACTTTCAGGTCCAGAAGGTGCCAACTCATCATACTCTCAACCTACAGGCTTTCACATGTACTGGTCTCCAAACCTGGAATATTCTTCTTTCACCTCCCCCAACAACTTCTCCTGGTTGGATCCTAAACATCCTTCATGTCTCTTAGATGCTTCTTCCTCTGAGAATCCTTCCCAAACCCCTTGAGCTGAGCAAGGTGCCCCTGCTCCATGTTCTTAGAGTCCTCGGGGCTTTCACTCTGTGTTGCACCTCTCTGAGAAAGCAGGGATCATGTCTGCCTTGCTCACCACTGCTTCCCCAACTCCTAGTGTACGATCAGCAGTCAATAAATAATGTTTTAATGAGCAAACAGAGATAGGAGACTGTTTCAGTAACATAAGGCCCAAAATAATAAGACTTTGAAAAGAACAGGCAGTGGAACAGAGAAGTGGATGGATTAGAACGATTAGGTGGCCTTGATGGGATTTGGTAATTAATTGGATATGGGGGGTTAGGGAAAGGAAGATTAAAGGATGAAACCATGGCTTCTGGCTTGGACACCTGAGGTCACCAAGATGGTGGAAGGACTTGGGGTACACAAGAAGGCTATGAGGTACCAACATCCCCAGTGAGTGAGAGAGAATCAGATAGCATAAGCCTCAAAGGGAAAGTTTTCACAAAAATGAAAGAGCAATTGTCTGGTTACAGACAGCATTTGGGGATGAGGATACCCCACCCCCACCCCCCCGCAGTCCCTGCCCCCAACACGAGAGATGCAGGGCACAGAGGATGCAAAGTCTCCACTAGAGAGGGCTAGAGGGGAAGTGACTGCCTCCTGCAAGAGCCACAGGGTAGTGCGAGTATTCAGGGAACAGGGTAGGGAGTTAAGAGTGAGTTCCAGAAAGCTCTGTGAAAAGGTAGAGAAGGGAAGAGAAGAACCCGGAAACTATGTTGGGAAGAAGACCCAGTGCACACAGGAATATGGAATACTCAAAGGCCTCCCCTAATTTCATCAGCTGTATAAGTTTTGTCTATTTCCAAAATGCTAAACTTATAAACGTTAAAAATGAAAAGACCTAATGAGTGAGGTTGTGATAAAATTGGCAAATTCATACCTTGCTAATAGCAGGAGGGGAAAGGCACAAAAACCTTTTTTTTTTTAAAAGATGACCGGTAAGGGGATCTCAACCCTTGGCCTGGTGTTGTCAGCACCATGCTCAACCAGTGAGCAAACCAGCCATCCCTATATAGGATCCGAACCCGTGGCCTTGGCATTATCAGCACCGCACTCTACCAAGTGAGCCACGGGCTGGCCCGCACAAAAACCTTTTAAAAACAAATTGACTATCTGTATCACAAGATACAAAAAAAATATTGATACTGTCTGACCTAGGTTATTTCTTTTTTTTTCCTTTTTTGTCTTTTTTTCGTGTCCGGCAACGGACCGCAACCCTCAGTGTCGCGCCCGCACCGGACCGGGACCGGCAACGGGATCGCAACCCTCGGTGCTGCGCCCGCCCCTCGCTCAGCCAGTGAGCGGGAACCAGTCTGTATGTGGGATCCGAACCCTCGGCAGGAGCGCCGCCACGCTCTCAAGCGGCGCACTGTAGCAGTGCGCCACCGGGCCGGCCCCTAGGTTATTTCTTTTTTTTTCCTTTTTTGTCTTTTTTTCGTGTCCGGCAACGGACCGCAACCCTCAGTGTCGCGCCCGCACCGGACCGGGACCGGCAACGGGATCGCAACCCTCGGTGCTGCGCCCGCCCCTCGCTCAGCCAGTGAGCGGGAACCAGTCTGTATGTGGGATCCGAACCCTCGGCAGGAGCGCCGCCACGCTCTCAAGCGGCGCACTGTAGCAGTGGGCCACCGGGCCGGCCCCTAGGTTATTTCTTTTTTTTTTTTTTTTTAAAGATGACCGGTAAGGGGATCTTAACCCTTGACTTGGAGTTGTCAGCACCACGCTTACCCAGTGAGCTAACCGGCCATCCCTATATAGGGATCCGAACCCATGGCCTTGGTGTTATCAGCCCCGCACTCTACCGAGTGAGCCACGGGCCGGCCTACCCTAGGTTATTTCTTACTGATAAAATCTCTCTTAAGAAAAGAATCTTCCTGGGCCGGCCTGTGGCTCATTCGGGAGACTGTGGTGCTGATAACACCAAGGCCATGGGTTCGGATCCCTATATAGGGATGGCCGGTTAGCTCACTGGGTGAGCGTGGTGCTGACAACACCAAGTCAAGGGTTAAGATCCCCTTACCGGTCATCTTTTAAAAAAAAAAAAAAGAAAGAAAGAAAGAAAGAAAAGAATCTTCCTCAAAATACAAGGAGATGTTCACTGAACAATAATTTATGATGTAAAAATCCTGGAAACCTACATGTCCAAATGGGAGAACAGGTAAGAAAATTATCCTAAGCACTCAATGTAATATCACACACCACTAAGCTTGATAACTGTGAAGACTGGACCACCATGAAAAACATTTAGGATATAATTGTTAAAAGGAAAAAAGAAGTATACAAAACCATCTACCATAGGATTACAATCACATAAAGAACTTCAGTACTTGGACAGAGCTTAGAAAGAATGTTGGAAAATTTAAAGGGCTGAATTTTGTAGAGTGATAGGTAATGATGACTTTTTCTCATTTTAACATTTCCATTTCTCTTAAACAAGTTTGTGCAATAAATACTCAACCTCCCACATTTCCAGAGTCTCTTCTAACTATCCCTGCCTGAAATGACCTCTCTGCTCCTTAACTTTTTCAAGATGGCTACTCCACAGCCCCCTGACCGAGACACTACTGACTTCCAGGAACCAGGGCTTAGTGCCTTATACCTTGCACAGAGAACTCAAATACCTGCAGCCTCTGGTCTTAAAGAGTTTTGCATGTTACATAAGCATTCAGGACCAGCCCCAAAGTGAGCACCCTTCTTCTTTTAGGAAGCCATCACAACCCACCCAACAACCTCCCATTAGCCTCAGGCTAGAGAGAAGTGCCAGTCTTCTGGGTCACCTAGTACCACCAAGACCTATATACTGCTCCACACACATCCCAATCTGCCCCAACCCCACACTCTTCCCAGCCCTCTGAAATTCCTACTCTAGGATCTAAAACCCCCTCACTTCTCATCTTCTCAGAATGCTCCATTCGCCCACCTGGACTTGCCTCGCCCTGGCTGTCCCCTGGGTCCTCTCAAGCTGAGATGACTTTAATGCTCATGCCCATCCCAGTACACGCCTCAAGGACAGGAGATGGATGGGTGTCACCTTGCTCCCCACTGTCATTTCCAAGTATTCTGACTTCCCCAAACTCTAACTTCTCTGTAGTTCTTGCCATCAGACTAGCTACCCCACTTTCTGTCACCCTCCCTCATTCACTGAGACTTTACCTCCAGCTCGCCATCTCACTGCCCACAGATACTCCTGTTTTCACTCTGAGTGATTTCCTCTTCCACAGAGCCTGTGAATTTGCTGTCCTCTCTTCCCCGCACAGTCTTTCACCAGGTGTCAGCTTGGTTCATTCTCTTACTTCCTTCAGGTATCTGCTCAGATATCACCTTAATAGTGAAGTCTTTCCCAACCATCCTTTTTAAAATTGCAATTCACTCTCCCAATCCTCTTCCCTGCTTTATTTTTCCCCATGACAACTGTCAGATATGTATTTTTTATTTTGTTATTTCTTTATTGCCTATTTCCCACACTAGAATATAAGCTTCACAAGGACAGGGACTCCTACCTGTTTTGTGCCTAATATCTAGCACCTAAAACAGGGCCTGGTACACAGAATATGCTCAACAACAATGTGTTAAAAGAATGAATTGTTGAAGGAATGAATAGATTCATCCAACCCCCCAGCCTCTTTCATGCCTCAACTTCCTCAGCACCCACAGACATTTCCTTCAGTCTGTATCTGCCACTCACTCCCATGCTCAAGCCCTGGACCTTGTCACCACTGCACAGTACACCTCGATTTCAGTCTCTGACCACCATCTCCCACCCATCCAGCTCACTTGCTCTGCTATTTCTATCACCACAATTATTCGGCTTCATCAGAAACATATTTACAGGGCTGGCCAGTTAGCTCAGTTGGTTACAGCACAGTATTATAACACCAAGGTCAAAGGTTAGGATCTTCATACCAGCCAGCCACACACAAAAAGGAAAAATCTAAAAAAACAATTTACAGTCCATTTCCTTACTCACTTTAGAGTCTAGTCCACCATGAAAAACATCCCCCTAGAGACACTCTCTAGACACTCATGTTTCTGTCCTGGCAAGCCCCAACCAGACCCTCCTATTCCATGTTTGCACACAACTGACAACAATGCAACTAGTATTTATTGAACACTTGCTATACGCCAGGCACTGTTTTAAGCACTTTACATTAATTCATTCTTAATTCTTTTAATTCTCACAACTCTCTGACATGGGTGCTATTATTATCCTCCTCATTTTACAAACAGAGAAACTACAGTCACTTAACTTGCTGGGAAAGATGCAGGACCTCCCTACCTGGTCTCACTTTAAGTGGACAGCAACAAACTTCCAGGGGATACTGAGCAAAGAATAATACTTCGTTCCTCTCCAAAGAACTGTCTATACTTTTTTCCCCACACACTTTAATCAGCTTCTGCCTCCATCACTCCTCTGAAAGTGCTCCTGTCAAGGTCACTAATGCCCCCATTCCCTAAACCCACCTCACTCTCTGCCTCTGCCTTTGTAACTTCTCCTGCATCCCCCTCCATGTGCTGGAGCACTCAGTGCTCTGCTTGCACCTCCTCCATCCACACTCTCTCTTGAGACAGAATCCATTCTCAAGACACGAGATGCCATCTTCATGCTCTCCCACTTCTCAAAGGATATTCCTGGTCCCAATCTCTACCCTTAGCTTTACATTTCACATTTACTGCACTTAAAAACCCTTCACTTCCGTCTCAGTACCTGTTTCTTCCTCTGAGTAAACTGTTCCACAATCCACCCAGCTGCAAAAACCTGGACATTGCCTTCGACTGCTTCCTTCCCTGCATCTCTATATCCAACAGATCTCCAAGTCCTACAGCATATACTTCAAATCCACTCACATCTGTCAATCTCTCCTGCCATCACCTTCACCCAACCCACCATCATCTCTTGCCTGGATTGTGATAAACACATCCTAATAAGTCTCCCAGATTTCACTCTTGCCTACCCACAATCCATTTATTCCTGTTTTCAAACTCTCCATGGCTTCCCAAATAAACTCCTAATGCCCTACCCACAAGACCCAACACAACGTGGCTGTTAGTCACCCCTCCATCCTTACCACACTTTCCCTGCAGTGGCCTCCGTCCAGCCACACTGGCATTCTTTCTCTTCTTGGAACACACAAAGCTCTTTCCTAGCTCTGGGTCTGTGTAATATCCAGCACCTCTTCCTAGAAGGCTCTTTCCACAGCTGTTCACAGGACTGATCTGTTATCATCCTTCAGGTCTCAGCTCAGATGTCTCCTTTTCAGAGAGCTCCTTCCTAACCACTTTATCTAAAGTGGTCTATCTAAAGTATCTCAAGCTATTCTGACCTCATTCCATTACTTCCTTAGGAACTTATTACATCTCCTTTTTATTTATTTATTTATTTATTTATTTATTTATTTTATTTATTTTTTTTGTCTTTTGTCTTTTTTCCGTGTCCGGCAACGGATCGCAACCCTCAGTGTTGCCCCCACACCGGACCGGGGACCGGCAACGGGACCGCAAACCTCGGCGCTGCTCCCGCGCCCCGCTCAGCCAGTGAGCTGGAACCGGTCTGTATGTGGGATCCGAACCCTCGGGTGGGAGCGCCGCCGCGCTTCCCAAGCAGCGCACTATCCAGTGCGCCACCGGGCCGGCCCTAACTCCGTGAATTTCTAACGGCAGGACCTGACTTTACTGTGACTCAGATGGGCCAGGCTTTCTTCCTTGTTTGCCCCTTGGTTTCCCACTGAGCTTTTAACCAGAGGAGAAAAGAGATGCCCTGCAAAGGGAAGCATGCCCCACACAAGCGAATGAACCCTTTCATTTATGCTTTTCTCTTGCAGATATTTGGGTGCTGGGTCTGGATCCTGGTAGCCGCCACCCACGTGGCAAACCCGCTGCTGCAAGGATGGGTGATGTATGTCTCCCTCACCTCCTTCCTCATCTCTCTGATGTTCCTGTTGTCTTACTTGATCGGATTTTACAAACGATATGAGTCCTGGAGAGTCCTGGTAAGAAGCGCCGCCTGGCTCCCCTCCAACTGATGTCCTCTAGGTGGGGAGGGAGAACCAGATGCCAGGGACCAAAGACCCTTCCTGAGCTAGACCCTGATGGAGCCAAGACTGGTTGGTTGCAGTATGTTTATTATTAAGCCAAAATGGAAACATTTCTCTGCAAGAGTCAATCTTTCACTGTGTTCCCCTCCACTGCCTTCTCTGCTAGGAGCATACACACCACCCTCTAATTAAGAACATTCCGATGTTTCCCCCTAAATTTTATTCATGGTAAAATAAATATTTGGATCAAGGTTGAAGAAAATGCTAGTAGGAAAAAAAATAATCTCAATCTCAAGAACCTATCGCTATCCCAGTGATAGGTTTATCCTTCCATATTCCACATGAATTTTATGCAAAATGTATACATGTCTTAATCACACTGAACACACAGTTTTGGATGTAGATGCTTTCATTTAATATTACATCATTACATCATTAGTTTTTTTATGTTGTCACATCATCTTGATAATATAAGTGTTTTCTATGTTGAGTAATTTAAAACATATAGAAAAATACAGAGAATTGTATTATAGATCTTCATGTAACCATAACCCAGATTCTGGCATTATCAAGATTTTACTACACTAGCTTCATCTAGCCTTTTTTTTTCCTGAAAAATTTTAAAGTACCCCTCAGACATTTTGTCACTCCATTGCACACACTTCAGTATGCCTCCAGAAAATACGTAAACTTTCTCACATTATCACACTCACACAAAGTTAACAGCAATTCCTCAGCATATCTAAGACGCAGGTCACATTCAGGTTTCCCCAGTTATTTCTGAAATGTCTTTTTGTAGTCAGCTCGTTTGGATCGGGGTCCTCACAGGGGCCATGCTTTGCAATTGGTGGTTAAGTTTCTCAGGTGCCCTTAGTGTACATTAGCTAGATCTAGTCACTGCCAGGGACTTGCTGAAGAAACCGGGTCCTTTGTCCTATAGGAAGTCCCACATTTTGGGCTTATCTCTCTGCTTCTTCCTGGTATGCCTTGACCTGCTCCCCTAGTCACTGTATTTTCTGTAAGCTGGAAGTTAGCACTGAAGACTTGACTGGATGTGGGTCAACATTTCTGGCAAGAATGCTTCGTGAGTGGGCTCAGGTCCCATCACACATGGTGACTGGAGGTCCCGCTCTCGGGGAGAGTGTCAGCCCTGCCCCATCGACTCTTTCTCTAGTACTGTACTTTCTTTCATCCTTTGGTCAGTTTTGCTGAATTAAGTATTTCATTAGAGGTTGCAAAGTGCACATTAGCCAATTATGGCACTCCTTCCAGAATCGGTTCCCAGTTTTAATGGTGGCATGTCTTTCTTGTTGTACTGAAGAACACTGCTGAGAGTTTAGCACACAGGTTCAAAAACTGAAGTCTGGAGTCAGATTAGTCTGACTCTACCAAATCTACCACGTGTTAGCTAAGTCTCGGTGTCCTCATCTGTAAATGGGGAATAATAATAGTAGCAGCCCAGAAATTTACTGTGAAAATGAAATGAGACAACATGTGTATGTTGTTAGGAGAACGCCCAGCACACTGTAGGTCTTCACGATGCTGACGGTTAACAGCATAGGCTTGGAGCTGGTGAGGCCTGGGTTCAAACCCTGACTTAGCCATTTATTAACTGACCTTAACCTTGAGCTTCCATTTCCTCAAAATGAGGCTAATAATAAATAGTTCCCACCTCAAAGATGACAAGGTTAAATTAGGTAAATGAGAAAAGGACTTAGCATAGAGCTTGGGGCAGAATAAGCACTCAGTAAGTGTTAGCTGGTAATGATATTATGGTTGCTGTTTATTCATCTGCTATTGTGCACTACATAGTTATTTCATTAGAAACACTGCTAAAAAAAAGGAGTTTGGGGGTGGGTTTGTCTCTTGTAGTCACAGAGTGATGGAGTGACAGTGTAGTAGTCAGAGAGTGACGGTGGCCGTGTGGCCTCTGCTCTGGTTTCCAGGACAGTCTCTACCATGGGACCACCAGCATCCTGTACATGAGCGCCGCTGTCTTACAAGCACACGCCACCATCGTTTCAGAGACTAATGACCTGAACAACTACTTCATCAACACCGCGGCCTCGGTGAGTGCGCTGGGCCGCCCTGGGCAGGGACTCTGAACGCTGCGTTGCTGGAGGCTCTTGATTGCACGAGCTTGATTCTGCCTCTTGCAGGACTGACCAGCCTGACCCCTCAACAGAAGGAGCTGGAGGACGGGGCAGGGGTGTGTGTGTGTGTGCGTGTGCATGTGCGTGCAAATACGGGCACCCAAGCTCAGGCGTCATCTGTCCTTCCCACCTCGTCCTGCTTCCTCTCACGCCTACCCCACTGCCTTCTGGATAATTTGTTCTTTTGAAAACAAATTGCTAATGGGAGCACGTCTCTCTCCCGTCCACGGCTCCTCAGCATGGCTGAACTGCTCAGTGTCCTTTTATTTCAGTGATAGAAGTCCATGGGGGTGACACGTTGGCTGACAGAGCCCCAGGCAAGGCGGTCCAGCCTCACTGTGGGGTGAGCAGCACTGTCCCGGGTCCTCGGGTCCCCAGGGGCCTTTCCTGTCTTCCCTGCACACCAGCCTCCTTTCTCCCTTGTGCAATGGCGCCCTCATGTGGCAGGGAGCTCACAGCCGCCGGATTCCTCCTCTGGAGTGGCCGTCCCTAATCCTACTTTGAAAACTTGCTAGGAAGGACTCTAACACCAAGGCTGAGTCCGTGCCACCCCCAGAACAGTTACTGAGGTCCCAAAGGTGGAGTCCTGTGTCAAACTGGCAGCTCCCGCAGGGCTGCCATGGCCACGGCTACAGGAAGGGGTGCAGCGTGGGGTGCTGTCCCCAGAGTAAGAATGGGGCATGGGCAAGCACTGTGACCCTCTGCCAGGGCCACAAGATATCTCAGCTGCCTTTCATCCTGTCTGCCTCCTCATCGAGATAATTTAACTTCCTTAAACTTGCAACTCCAAAAATGGCTCCCCAGCCCCTTCCCCTGCATTCCCCTTCCCCGCTTCATTTTCTCCTGGGCACTCATCCCCATTGAACCTCAATACACGCTGCTTGTTGATCTTGCTTATTTTCTGCTTCTTACCATTAAAATGTAAGCTCCATGAGGGCAGGACTTTTTGAATGTTTTGTTCACTGTTATAGCCACAGTTGTCCTTCAAGTACAGCAGGTGCTTAAAACATATTTGTTGAATGAATGAATGAATGAATGAGAACAGAGTGTGAGTGGCTGGCAGGACAGCCTGAGGCGTGTTGACGGTGGTGGCCTCTGTCCTGGGTGCAGAGGAGAACCATCGTATGGTTTTAAACATGGGAGCAACATGATACTTTCCTTAGGGCAGGTTAGAAGGGGCAGAGTAGGCAGAAGTGGATGAGTTGAGGCCATAAGATGTTGTTTTAGTCCGTTTTGTGTTGTTATCACAGAAACACCTGAGACTGGGTAATTCATAAAGGAAAGAGGTTTATTTGGCTCACGATTCTGGGACAGCTGCATCTGGCACAGGCCTCAGGCTACTTCTACTCGTGGTGGAAAGTGGCAGGGAGCCGGCGGGCACAAGCAGACCACATGGTGACAGGAAGCAAGAGAGAGAGAGAGAGGAGGTGCCGGGGTCCTTTAAACAATCAGGTCTCACGAGAACTAATAGAGCGAGAACTCTCTCATTAATCCCCCCTCCCCCAGGGAGAGAATTAATCCATTCATGAGGGATCCGCCCC